TTTTTTTTTTTTCTTTTTTTTTTTTAGTTTGTGGGGACCCTACGGTGGAACAGTGTTCCGAGTTTGATCTTACCATTGCTTTTTATGCCATTGGCTTGGTTTCCTTAAGGTTAATTTTGAGATTCCGTCTTAAAACTCAAAGCATCTTGTTAGCTTTCAACGTGACTTCCCGAATGAGGAATTTGCAGCAAATGCAAGTTAGGGAAACAGGCTTGTAATTGCTTTGGATGTATTTATCCCCCATTTAAAAGACTGGCATAACATTTGCCGACAACCACTACTTTGGAACCACACCTGAATCTTGATAGGAGCAAACTCTACAGCAAACATATCAGAACCCTCCCAGGTATTTAATAGAAGCTATACCTGATGTGAGGTATGGAAAAGGTCATTCAAACTCCACGGGATAAAATATTGAACAGAAGACCCTCGGCAAAGCATCGGGTCTCCTGCTCAATATTGTATCCATTGGGTTTGAATTACCTTATCCATACCTCACATCAGAGATGGATTCTATTAATCTATACCTCACATCAGGGATGGATTCTATTTCTTGCTTATTACCTAAAACCCGGCGAAACAGCTATTCTTCTAGTAAAGTTGTAAACTGTCCGCATCTTTGTCATTTGCATATATAGCCCGGATTGCAATTGTTAATGATGTCGATGACCCTGACTGACCCCAAAACGTCATAAAATCATGTCACGAACAATAGCGGAACACCGAAAGGTCACTACAATTCAATTCAATTTTCTTTTGGTGAAGTGTAGACGTAAACCTTACCACAACAAAAACACCAAAAATACAAATGAGCACTTGGTTCGTAGGTGCATAAAAGTAAAATTCTCAAAAAGTCAGAGTTTTTTCCGAATTTTGTCAAACTAATAATGCATTGAAGGATCATTTTTGATGCAACCAAAACTATGGACGATATAGCACAATAGACGTGTAAAAGTCTCTTGCTATGGTGGGTTATCAGATATTTATAGACAAATCAACAGCCGGAAGCCATCTCAAGCAATGATATTTTCCAGACAAAAAATGTATTAATCTTAGAATAAAAGTATCTTATAACTTTTGTTTGCCAAACATGTTTTGTTTATAAAAGGACAAGGTCATGAACTACCAATGACAAAAATATCAATCCAAAATATGTGGTGGAACATATTCAAAGAAGGGATCAAATGACCATAAATTATAGTCTATACATCAGAATTAATGGCTATATATGTAGTCTAATCATTATGACTAAAAAAGTGACAGAAATTATTTGTTCCAGTTAAGATGGAATGAATATTTAATCAACAAGAGAACATTGTTGGAAAAGATTCGTTGGTTTATTCCTTTTCAAGATGGCCACCAAAACATTAATTCTACTGCCTAATAAGTTGTCAGATTTCCAGATATTGTTTTTGCAATATCAATGGATCTCAGAGATTTGTGTTTGTTTGTTACTTTGTTTTTATATATTTATCAAAGTTTGACGCCGTATAAACAGCTGATGACATTTACAGATAATGTTTTGCAAGATGCATGAGTATGATATGTGCTCGAATGGCAGACTTGGAAAAAAGAAGGAAGAAGAAAATGATGCAAGGCTTTGAGTTGATTTTCAAACTGGTGATTCTAGATTCACAAGAAAACAGCTTAGCTAAGTTGGGACTTCTTAGCCCTTGGGTGCAACTGTTATGGTTTTTGGAGATTGCTATGATAGCAAAGATAATACAGTATACTTGATGTATGAGCACACATTCCCATAGTTCTTTGACCAACTGGCCTTTGGCAGCAGTAATCTTAAATTGGATTATTATCATTTGGTGTCGTGCTGTAATGAATCCAAACATTATATCTAGTCTGGCTGTATGTGTCTGGAACAAATCTGACAACGGATGAGATCTTGAGAGTGCTGATTGACCAATATTTCAAAATCTTTACGAATTCTGACTTTGCTCTCTTGGAGAGAGCTGCTTATTTTCACCCTCTGAGTCAAACTGTTTGTTTTGTAAGTAGAAACTTCATTTGATGTGCGAGTGTTGCTCTTTTCTGTCAGTTTCCGGTGATCTTTGATAAATTGGTCCCCGTATCCAATTGAGACATGCAGTCACAATCTTTAGCACTTCCTCTAATTATGTATATCAATGAAGCAATTTGATATTAATTGAGTTCTAAAAAATATCCAATGCTTAAGACGGCCACAAAAAGACTCTACATTCCATCGGGATTTAGTAACTATTCTGTCAATGTTAGCCTGTAGATCAGAGTATTGTCTCTGACCAGTCTTAAAATATGAGTGCATACTGGTATTAATAACATATGATCTAACATTGGCAGGACATCTCTAAAACCACGTCAACGACTACATTGTCTATGATTTGTTTGTAATGCTTACACCATTTTGGCTTCCAGAGAATGGTTCTACTGTGTCCAAAATGTTGCCATCAGGTAGAGCTATGTTCATGAATTGAAGATAATTACGCTCCTTTCTGGCCACCGTAAGACATTCTCTGAAGATGATTAACAGCACGTTTTTTAATATAAATGCATGTAACAATTATTAAGGATAGAATAAAGTATAGTGTGAAAGTATAAGTTCCCTACTGAAATGGTCAGGACAAAGGTACACTGGAACTATAGATTTAGCCAATGCTTGTACAGTGTACTACAGAATAAAAGGTTTTTGAAATAATAGACAGGAAAATGCCAAAAAGAGCGGAACACTAATTAATTACAAGAGACATCGGTTTTCATCTTAGCCCAAAGCAGTCAAAGATAATTTTGTGTTGTTTTGATATATACCGAGGAAGAAAGAAATGGGACCAAGTACGGATTTTGAGAATCTGTGCTTTGATCAACCTGTCAAAGCTTTGCAGTCAGGGTCATCAAAGAGACAAAAAATTGAGAGTGAAGGCTGATTGATTCTTCGATAAGATGTACGCCACTTCTGAAAGGTCATCAATTATTTCAGATGACCTACTTCATAATTGAGAATTCAAAGACTCTCTTCCTTATAGGATAACCTGTGTACAAGGGTTCAGGTCATTGCCAATAAGATGAAATGAGTATACACGTGATGACGCAGAACACCACAATTTGCACGTGAAAATTAATTGATGCCTGGCACGTTTTTGCAGAAGTGTGAATTTGCTTCCCTTCGAATTAAAATTGATAAAACAACAATTTTTTTTTGTGTGAATAGGACACGTAAAACAGGTCTTTGATTGTTAAGAGAGGAAAACTTCTTGTAGTTTAATCTTCAACACGTTCTGTTTCAGCTTCTCTTTTGCGCAGATACCTTATGTAGCACTTCGCACAAATGCTAACTTCTTCATTTGAGCAATCTATGCCCCTTTTAGTCAGTATATCCAAAAAGCTTTTTATATTATGGTTTTTGTTTTCATTTAGTGTACCTTTACATTTACGAGATTTCGCGAAGATACGATGGCGACCTTCACCAATACGTTTACTCTTCATTATGAGATGAATATTAACAAATGAGTATGCAATATCTCCTAAAAGCAATGTAGAAAGGAAAGTCTGATGAGAAAATGTATAAAAAATCACAACAAAATGTATAAGAACAAATTCTAAAAAGTGACAAGGATATTACATTTAGTTTCTAAATTGATTAATAAGAAATACTTCATCAATCACACCAAGTGATGAAGCAAACTTGAATATGGATTTTTTGTTTCTTAACATGCACTGCAAAGTTTATTGTAAGCTTGCAACGAATTTCATTACCAATTACCTGTAATCAGGTGCATTGTTTTTTGGTGGACGCCAG